GAGAGAGAGAGAGAGAGAGAGAGAGAGAGAGAGAGAGAGAGAGAGAGAGAGAGAGAGAGAGAGAGAGAGAGAGAGAGAGAAGCAATGACAACAAGTCGTCAATGGACATCATGGGACCGTGTGTCGGGTGATGGTTCCTGATGAACTCCATGATTGTGTTCGCCGTCTTCACCGTGTCCTTCACCCAAGACAAATTGTTGAGGTCCTTCAACAATAGACTGCAGCAGTGCGCTCCACATGGCACCCACGGTATCCTTACAACGTTTCTGTCGGTCTGCCTCAGCGTTGTGTGTGGACTGTCTTGTTGACCTCAGCATTGTCTATGTAGATCGCGTTGATCCCAATGGAGCCCGATCTCCGGCATCACCTGCTCCCAACAACTTGACAAATGCTGCTGCGTTTTTCTTCCTCCCTGAGTCCCTGTCATGTAAACCGTGGTGACCAGAACGACTCCTTTCTCCCCCGCCGCTAGGAAATTCATGACCGCCGGTTCTTGCAATCTGTGGATCCGTCTGTGATGAATGTGCAGCCTGTTGTGTCCCAACAATCAGTCATAGGGAAGATGGTAGTTGAACATGGAAGTCCACATGTGCTTGTAGGTAGGCAACTTGGCCCGGGGCTTGACACTGACAACCTCCAAGTACGCTTCGTGAAGAGCCTGCGTGGTTTCAAAGTTCAGGAAGTTGAAAGCACTTCCAGCCCTGGACATTGCGTGGGTGACATTGCCTCCGCCCACACAATGTCCAACTGCTTCGCCACCACAGGTTTGGCACAGGCCTCCCCTCCACCGGCACCCTCATCACACCCCCCCCCAGCTTCGTCATCTGTTGTAGAGGTCTTTGCAGCAAATCGTGGAACAGACCGCCCTCAAATAGGTGGCGGCACAGGCCGCATCGAAAGATCGTCAGCATCTGGTGCAGTCTCTACAACCTCCTCGCCTCCCTCATCACGCCTGGCGAGGCATCTGATGCGGTCTCTACAACCTCCTCGCCCCCCTCGGCCACCCTGAGTGATGAGCTCATCAATGGTCTCCCCCGTTCGGAAAGGACACGGTTTCTGCACTTTTACGGAATGTTCAACTGCCTTTGTTGATGAGCCCCTGAAGATCTTGGAGCGAAGGCGACACTTGAGCCAATACTCCCTGCGTCTTGTTGGGACTGCTCCATGTCCCTATTCAACCCACTGCCACAGCGCATTGCCTACTTGTTGATAGCCATCGTGGCTGACTGCAGTGACTTGCTTGAGGAAGGCTTGTCATGAACATCCTGCACCTGCTCTTTCCCGTTGACCACCACCCACCATGATGTCGCCCGCGGTGAAGTTGGAAAAAAAAAAAGAAAAACAAGTTATGGGATGTGTGCAGCGATGTTGCTATGGGTGTGTTCTCTATGGCTATGGGGGGAAGAAGAAGAAGAAGACGAAGAGGTTAAAACAAAATAAATGGACAGTTATGGCTAACGGAGGAGGAAGAAGAAGGAGAAGAAGAAGAAGAAAAAGAAGAAGAAGAACATCAAGAAGTTAATTTAGTTAAAGGAAAAAAAAAACACAACGGTTATGCCTGTCAACAGCGAACGAAGGAGGAAGAGGAGGGTGAAGAAGAAGAAGAAGAAGAGAAAAAAACAGCTATGTATGTCTACGGCTAACGGAGGAGGATGAGAAGAGGAGGAAGAAGAAGAAGAAGAAGAAGAAGGAGAAGAAGAGGAAGAAGAAGAAGATGAAGATGAAGATGAAGAAGAAGATGAAGTAAAAAACAAAAAAAATGATGGCTATGGCTAACGGAGGGGGAGGAGAAGAAGAGGACAAGGAGGAGGAGGAGGAGTTAGAAAAAGAAGAAGAAGAAGAAGAAGAAGAAGAAAAAGAAGAAGAAAATGTTTTTTGTTAGACGGCTATGGCTGCTGGAGGAGGTGGAGAAGAAGAGGAGGAGAAGAGGAGGAGGCTAATGGTGGAGAAGGAGAAGAGGAGGAGGCTGATGGTGGAGGATGAGAAGAGGAGGCGGCGGCTAATGGTGGAGGAGGAGAAGAGGAGGAGGAGGAAGAAGGTACTTGGGGCAAGGAGCGGCAGTATTTGGGACGAAGAGATATCGAGGTGGGGGGAGGAGCAACGTGACGAGGATGGTAGACCAACACGATGCGATGGGGATGGTAGGAGGAGATGGCGAGGTTGGGACAGGAGCGACCCAATGTGTAGGGGAGGAGATGATGACGTGGTGGAGGGAGCCACACGATGGGGAGCGGAGACCAATGCTATCGGGCAGAGGGGGGGTGGAGCGATGCGACGGGGAGGGGGAACCTCTCTCTCTCTCTCTCTCTCTCTCCCCCCCCCCCCCCTCCCCTCCTCATCACCTGCAAGCTGGCATGGGCAGTGACAAGGGGTCATGGCAATGGCAGAGGCAGCAGGTTTTGGAGACGGCAGCAGTGGTGGGCCTTGGAGATGGCAGCGGCTTGTCATGTGGGGAGGAAGGGTGTGTGTGTGTGTGTGTGTTTGTGCGTGCGTGTCTCCTCTCGTCTTTGCTTCGCGTCCCCTCCAAGCGGGCATGGACAGCGGCAAAAGGTCATAATGGCAGCGTCCGCAGATCTCGGAGATGGCAGCAGTGGCGATTCTTGGAGATGGCAGCGGCAATGGGTCATGGCAGTGGCAGTGGCGGCGTGAATCCCTTCACGTGAAAGGGGGTTTGAAATCAAACGCCAGTCTACCACGCAAAGGCATTGGCACGGTTAATTTGAAGCAGCACATGGAATAGGGGCTGGTTTGGCCCCAATGCTTTTCCCGTTTTTCGAGTTTGGGCTGCAGCGCACGTCGGTAGGCCGCCCGGTAGCCAACCTGGTGACCCAACCGGCTGGGCCACCCGGGAAGCCACCCCGTGCGAGGTCCCGGGACCCGGCTGCCTGGCGACCAGCACATGCATAACATAGTTCTCTTTTCAGGGTTTTTTTTTTTTTTTTTTTTGTTTTTTTCAAGGCAGGGACCTTGCCTTGCCCTTGCCTGGCCGGGCTGCCTGTGCAGCCAAGGTGACCTTCAACGTGAAAAATCTCTGAAAAAAGTTAAAAAAAAAAATCCTCTGATGTCAAGCTTTCATCACGTTTGTTCTTCTTCAGGTCTCAAGAAGTTTGATGAGGAGCATTCGTGAGATAACGGCTTTGATGTCGGGTGCATCACAAGACATGGAGCACCCACTTCAGAAGACTGATGCGGAATGCTTTTCCACCTTGGCCGTGACAATTTTCAAGCTGAGTTTTGATTGCACCGATGGACGTGGAGCCTGGCTCAGCAAGCTTGAGCTATGTGATCTTTTCCAGGGCAAGGTTGAGACCGGGCATGGAAGAAGCAAAGAGTCTGGCACGTGTGGCTATGAATGCAATACGTCTGTAATGGTTCAAGAAGCTAGCAGGCTGTCTTCACAGACCATACATCCAGGTGGTGCAGGTGTATCTCGTTCGATTGCAGGACCTGTCGACGAGAATGTTGATGATGAGCGTGTCCTTGGCTATCGTCCATCGCTGAATAGCACAGAGGAAATGAAATCAACGCTGTCTGCGAAACAACAGGCGGAGAAACAGGTTCTTGGCATTTGTGATAAGGTGTGCAGCTGTGCAGATGCATCAGGAAAAAGTGGAACAAAAGAGATTGGGCATCCAGATCAGAGCCCCTGTGCACAGTCTTGTTCGTCAATGTCTCATCGCCCTTGGAGAGCTAATTCAGAGCAATTGAAGGTCTTTCAGGAAGATGACGCTCATGGGAGGGGGCATGATAATGGATGGTTGCAAGAAAGGGAGGCAGCATGGTTGAAGAACTTGCTGCGGTCAGTGGGTGAACCAGGTGGTGGACTTGGATCAGAGACGGGGGAACAAAAAATCCATGGTCCACCTTTGCCCTCAACTCACGGTGAGGGAAGAGGAGCTGATCGAACGGTGTGCAAGATGACTAAGACGATTCCTGAAGTCGTTATGGGGACGTCCAGTGGCTCTGCGGGCAGAATACGACGGGACTATGCTGCAAGCAGCACTGGTCGCTCTGAGAGACGGACTGCAACAGGAACTGGAACAGAGTCGAAGTGGGTACCTTGCTTGTTCATCCAGATGTTGGCTGATCTCGATCTATGTCTGGATGAGGCTGAGAAATTCGCACATCGTCTTGAAGTGCTGCAGAGTGTCTTGGTTGATCACGGTCTCCGGGGGGATGCTCACGGGGTTCGATCGGCAGCTGGAGAGATGTCGACAGGGATTGGGAGTGGAACGAGTCCTCAACAGCATGCTAGTGGAGAGTCGGGGAGTAGCATTGGGATAAGCAGTGGAGCACAAGCAGCTGTAGCAGGAATAGCACGGAGGCAAACGACTTCAGCCGCTGTTGGTCCCAGTGCCTCCCAGCAGTCGAGAATAGCTCATTTACCAGCAGCTATCAAGTCAACAATGCCAACTATTCTGAAGGGTATTCATGCGATTGGCTCGCGCTCTCCACTACTAACGAAGTTTCTGCTGATTGTATTGAAGCGCAACAAGCGAGTACTGAATTCGTTTATGAAGACTTCCCACCTTTGTCCAGGAGGTGACCTTTGGTGGCTTCTGGAGCACAGGTCAGGGTCCAAAGTTTGTTTGTTTGTTTATTTGTTTGTTTTTTAACATAAAACTTGATACAAGTCATTTCATTTAAAGATTTGAAAAACGAGGCCGGGGTCCTCACAATTTGACCCAGAGTTACCCTGGCAGCATTCGCCAGTTTCGCTTATGATCAGATCCAGCCCTCGTACCACCCTACTCCTGTGTACCTTCCCTGGGACCTCCTGACCAGCCTAGGAGGGCGGACTCCAGGAGGGTCTGAAGACCCTGAACGTTTCTTCATATCCTTCAGTTCCAGATATTCATTCACATGCGCAGCAAACATTGCATGCACGTCTGGATGAACTTGTATTGTATCAGTCCCTGTCAACACACAGTGAGTGATAGGGTGTCTAGGTAAAGGAAAGGCCAGAGCATTGTACACACACTTATGTGGTATAGGAAGTCCCTTAGGCGTTTAGCAGGTCGGTTACTGTGAAAACGATGCAACAGTTGGAACAGCATATATAATATTATATATGAAGTTTTATGAACAATTGATCTTATTGAATGTACAGTCGTAGTCAAAACAAGATTGAGCTCAGATGGTACACCTATAAAGTTATAAACTGTTGAAATACCAGACATGAGTTTGAAAAACCTCGAATCCAGACGGAAGTAGTTGAGTGAATTCCTGAATCACCTGGGGCCGGTCAGTTCAATCAACTTCAATGATGATTTCTCAAGGCCGTCACCCTTGTTTTCCTAAGAAAAGATTGACACTGACATCGATGCATGGTAGGGTGGCGGATGGTTACTTGAATGCTTAGCAGCGTAAAACCCGACAAAAATTCAAAGGTCACGTAGTACAGAGAAAAAAAAGAGTTGTCCACAATCATGTCTATTCTATGTGTTTTCTTCATCAGTGCCAACTCCATACAGTCCGCCTCATCTCTGCATTAATGGCTACAAGTCGATGTGAAAGCCATGGCTGAGATGAATATCCAATTCAGGCAACAAGGATCTGCTAAGGTGATGCTTACTCACCTCCACACTGGCATATGGGAAGGCAAGGCAATTGCCAAACGTGTGGCAAGCACAAAAATAAAAGAACAATGAATGAGGAAATCAAACTCTCAACATCCTATCGGTAGGACTAAGGCTGAATTGACAATATCATGCAGAACGGAAGGAATGAAAAGGTAGGGGTAAGAGGGAAGAAATCTGTTCTGGTTTGTATTGTATGTGCACATGCGGCCCGGGAGGAATTGAACAGCAATAAGGTAAGATAAAAATGTAGTCTCTACGTGCTCCACCACAGCAAGGTGTCCAGAATCGTGCAAGCTAACTGGTGCAACACCCTTTTGCAGCTAAGCATAATTCTCCTTCTCTCATCCTGGAAGAGAGCAAGGAATGGGGATACAAGGTGGACAAGATATTGACCAGCGGCTCTCTCTTTCTCTCTCTCCGTGGCATACTGCGTAGCCACACGGGCCCTACAGGGCCCGTCCCGGACATTCAGCCTAAAAGCCTAAAACTTAGGGCTTACAGGCCCCGTTCATTTCAGCCTGGATGCTGAAAAACGAGGGCCTGCAGGCCCTACCTCGTTTCAGCCTATTTCTGGGTCTTTTCAGACCCAGAGTTTTCAGCCTGAAACGGAGGGCCATTTTCAGGCCCTCATTGTTTCGACCTGCTCCTAAGACTCAGGCACGGAAACAGGGATGCGGAACAGGCCCAAAATAGCCTGTTCCTCACGTACTCGAGCAGGAGCTGCAGCTGCAGCCCCTGCCTCCCTTCGGCAGGCTCAAGAGGCACACCCGTAGTACATAGGAGGTTCCCATGCACTTCACGGGTAGGAAGTGTCAGTAGGCGGAGGTAGTCTTCAGGATTCGGCCGCAGCACTCAGGAGGAGCGCTGCAGTAGTCTTCAGCGCTAGGCAGTAGTGGTAGCGCTAGCTGTAGTCTTCGGCGCTGGGCGCCATAGCTGTAGCTGTAGTCTTCAGCGCTGGGCRCTGGTAGGTAGTAGATCGTAGAGTGGAGAGAGACTGGCGGAGGCCAGTGCTGCTTACCTGTGGCGCCATCGCTCCAGCTCCATCTTCGTGGTACCTGCATCAAGGCGCCAACTTCACAGGTTAGTACTGGACACAGAGAGAGAGAGAGAGTTCTTCTTCGTCCTCTTCTAAGTCCACCTTCTCTTCTCACCCTCTCGCCACCTGACTTCTCAGACTACGACAGAGAGAGACAGAGTTGTGACTTGAGACTTGACGACATTGGATCCAGACTTGACATTTGGGATTCAGACAGTTCGACGAGGGACTATTTGGGCTTGTGCCGAAGACTTGGTGTTGACGACATTCCCATCTTCCCCCTCCTCTTCGTCTATCCCCTTCCTCCTCGTCTGTGCATGTTCTGGGCTGGCGCTGTCTTCCTGTGTGAAGTGCCAGACCCATTCACACTATGAAACGATGATGATGATGTATGTTCAGGGCTGCATTACAATATTGATTGTTCGGATCACTGGTATCTAAGTCTTCCGCTGTGCTATCTTATACTTTGTATTGAAAGGTCGGTTCTTGTTCTGGTCTGCACCTATACGGTATGCAACACTCTCTCTCTCATGTGAATCATGTGTGTTTCCAATGTCACTGCAGGCATTTGCTGGATTTTGCAATGAAGAAAGAGCATGCCTTCTCATTGCTTCCATGCCCAACAGAGAACCAAAGCGAACGGCATTTAGTCCAGGTACTGTGCTTTCTGACCGTACAGATGTTTGTCATGACCATTCAGACCCTGCCAAAAACCTTCGCCGCACTGCTCGCTCCATATCTGTACGACACAACAAGAATGTCAAGAAAGAATCCTTAATTTTCTTTTTTTCTGCCTTTGAATATCAATGAGCACGACGTGTTACATGTCACAGAGGCTGCTGGATTGCAGTGCAAACACGGAATTTGCCTATGTCGCCTTTCACGTAATCGACTTGGGCGATGCTTCGAACAAATCCGCGTCCGTTTGCATGTAGTAGCTCCCACAGCTCTGTCTGTCCGGGGGGGGGGGGGGGGGGGGGGGGGGATAATTGATAACTCTGATAAGGGAAAAGACAAACGCTTCGTTCTCTTTTGCGTATCCTATATGCTGTGTGCTGTGTTTTGTGTAATCGCCGTAAACCGCTTCGTTCTCTTTTGCGTATCCTATATGCTGTGTGCTGTGTTTTGCGTAATCGCCGTAATGTGCATACTGTGCCTGCCCTATGGACCTTTTGGCAGTTTGTGCATGCTACATGCGTAGTCTGTGACGCATGCCATCCTGTTCTGTCATATGCTGGTGATCCGCTCTGTCACTTGTGAGAGGTTGCGAAATCTTGCCATGCAAGTTCTCGAGTTAATAAAGTGGGAGATGGTGGCTAATGGCGATGGAAAGCGTCATTTACATCCATGCATATTGGAATGGTGGTAAATAGTAAATACTAAATAAAAAGTTTCTTGCAAAAACATGAAGCTTGTAATAGAGTTGGAGATAACAGTAACCCAGTGATGATGATGATTGGGACCATCATCATATGATATGATGATTTTAGAGGTTATCATCACCATCTTTATCATCTGCATATTGTCCTCGTCAGGGTCATCGTGTACCATCATCATGATCGTTGTCTTATCATAATTGTGATGGTCATGCTGTTGCGGTGTTGATTTTGGATGTCATCATGATTATTTATCCTTTGGTGTGGTGATGATCATTGGTGGCATTTACATTGATGAGAAAAACAGCGATAATGATGACACTGTTTAAAATCAGCGCCATGAAAATGACCATGGAGAGGCATGGTGGTCCCCTCAATGACATTGCCATCCACAGCGTGACCATGGAGATGACAAAGGCATGGTGGTCCCCACATTGCGACCCGCAGCATGACCATGGAGATAAAAAAAGGCATGGTGGTCCCTGCATTGCCATCCACAGCATCATCCTGGCTACTATCATCACAACAATACATCAGCAGGGTTATTGTCGTCATGCTTGTCTCATCATCATCATAAATTGCTGATCACCATCATCATCTCAACATCGTCATCAGCGTTATATCTTTAGTTTTCTCCTGATAATGATCATTGGTTACTCCTGATAATGATCATTGGTTACTTAATTCTATGGCGTCGTCGTTGTCATCATCATCATCATCATCGTAATTGTTGTCATTCTCATCACCAAGAACATCATGGTCTTGGAGGGTGTCTTTGTTGACGTTACAGTATTTGCCTTCGTTGCGTAAAATGATAATTGTCATGCTGGTGATTCTGAACAGTATCTAGACTCAAAGTTACCCCAAATACATAGGAGAAGAGAGAAGGTAAAACTATTCCAGAGCTCAGTTGCAGTGAACGGTAGGTGGTGTTGGTGGGGGGAGGGAAGGGAGAGGTGAACGTTGTTATTGAGTCGGGTAACTTGGGTGTGCTTTTCCCCCGTCCCGATAGGTTCTTCTTCCCCAGTCCATTGTGCGTCACTTGATGATGACTTGTGTGACGAGCGGTGTTCAAGAACATATCTATGATGAGTGTAACACCACCTAGTTCCCGTTTCATTTCTTTTACTCTTGATTGCATCTGTATTTGGACTTGGGTCTGTATTTCAACAGTTTGTAGGTGTACCGACTAAGTGAGATAGGCTCGTTGGTAGTTCCGGTTTCTTTTTTGCTCTTTTTTTTCACTCAACCTGTCCTTCCTAACTAAGTCCTAAATCCAGTCGCTGGCTTTTTTGGTCGATTGATGTCTATCTCTGCGTACCAGCTGGGGCCCCTAAGGGTTAATGACTGTTTTTTTTTTTTTTTTTACCTGAAAGCTAACCTATATTATTCTGTCAATATGCCTCCCACTACCTACCTATATACTACTAGCTTAGCAGGGAACGCTGGGGTTATGGGTTGGATTCCTGGCCTTCGCCGCAGCATATCTCCGGGCTGTTCTATGTGGGGAACAATACCCAGGCTCCGAACACCTGGCGTGACCTGGAAAGCAGATGCAGCTACTTCCACAATTTGCCAGGAGGGACAAGCTGACTTTGTCGGCTGGTGAATCCGAAGCATACCAACAGGGGGGTGTGGGAATCGAATGAATGCCATGGCGAGCGGAACCCACGATCTCCTGTGTACCACTCACGTGCTCAACCAACTGAGCTATGCCACTTGGGTAGGGTTGGTTTCTTATTGTTTGCTAAAAGTCAAAAGACAAGTCTTCCACGCAGGGACACCTTTAGGAACCGGTGCGATCCGGGCATGATTTCGGTCATCTTCCATCCTGCAGGGCAGCACATGTGGTTATGAGTGCAGCATGTGTGCCTCTGTTTCAGTTCCTGTGATCTCATCTGGGTAGGAAATAAGTTCACATTTCTTCCCTTGTTCGAATCACCGAGGGCCCCGAGCCTCTTCAACTGAACCGAACCGGGGGTTTCGGCCCTTGGTTCACAGGTTACCCGGATGGTCAGCCAGTTACGAAATCCATGAGCAGCGTCATTGTATATGGCTGATTGTGATTTCCTCCGGATGCTGCTGTCAGAGGCAATTGGATTCACCCTATTGAGGCATTCCAATCTGCATAGCAACGGTGTTGCGCAGCTCCTTCCCTCAGTCGGTGCTTGCCATTTTATGCTTGCTATCTTCTGCAGGACTGAGAAGCTATTTGAGCCTATTTCCAATTTTCCATCCCTCAAGTAGGATGCGTTTCTGGGATTGTCGTGCATTAGTGGTGGGAATGAGCAGCAGTCATGTGCATGATAATGCCATGATTATGATTTATACCCAACCAATTCTGCATTGACATAGGTTGTGCCAGGGTTGGTTATGCGCAGTCCAATATGTCTGGGGACTACGCTTCAAATCACGCATAAATTTATTCCTTTCGTAGAAGGAAAAAACGGAAGAAAAGAATGTTGAGTCCTCCCTCTTTAAAACCTCTCTATTCCGAGCGGGCGGGATGTGCTGCTTCTTCAGCCGCTCCACCGTCTTCACCCTAGACTGAAAGTTCCACCAAATATAGCTATATATTATATAATGACCGGGCGTTCTATTCGGGTGAAGACGGTAGTCTTGAGAATTGTAACGTCGTCCTTTGCCAAGGCAGTTCTGTAGGAGTCTCTTCTGTCCACACGCTCAAGTCTTGCAACCGCGGTTCTTTTCTTTTCTTTCGATGAGTAGTTTTTCTTTCGACCAAGCATTGCTACGATGCTCCGTAAGGAGTACTCTTTTCCTTTGGTGAAGTCGGTGAAAGTGCTTGCACTGTGAGGCATTCTACTCTCTGAGGTAAGGTAAGAATGCTTTTGTTTTTTTTCTTTCCCTCTCTCCTCGGAGGCTGCTCCCGCCTCGAGCATTGCGTCTTTTCCAGAAGTCAACAAATAAAAAGCGATGTGGCATTTGCTCTGCCCTGCTTAGCCGCATACATACTTACTGTCCTCGTTGCATGTGTGTGTCTGTGAACCTCGATGCACGAGTGCATGGTGGCTCCTATACAGGTGAGCAGAGGACCTCAGTTGTTGGAGGAGGCTTTTAATCAAATTATGTACACGGATGCCGAGAGTTTGAAAGAAGGGTTGGTGGTGCAATTTGCGATGGAAGAAGGTGCTGGCATCGGGGTTCTTCGAGAGTGGTGCGCAGCTTTTCTCCTATAAAAAAAAAGTCGACAAGAAATGTTAATAAAGAATTATAGAAATCTGAATTCAATCAATCATGTTATGATGATCTGCGGACTAACAATCCTTGCTTGGCATGTGCCTGTGTGGCATTCCATGCTAAATACGACGGTGCCACAGTCCTGAATCCCCGGTCAAACATGGAAAAGCGGGGTGGAGAGTGTAGAAGGGGGGGGGGGGGGGGAGGAGGATTTGGAAGGGGCATGAAGAGAGGACGGTGGTTTTAGTACGGTTTATAACTTTATAAATTGCAACTATTTTCATTGTCCACTGTCCATTTTTGTTCAAGAAAATCGAATCAACCCAGCGGAGCACCTTCCGGGTTTTGTTGCAAATGATCCTGCAGCATTTCCTGATGTTTTAGTCTTGGCTGAACTGTAGCAGTGAGTAACTGAATGAGTCATTTTTTCCTGTCGTTGAATTTCTGTGGTTGCTGTCATCGCTCAGTGATGCTGAGCCCAGTGCGCAGTGATTGTAGCCACAGATGTTTGACGTCCTGGTCAGATGACGACGGAAGCTCATGGCGTTGGCCAGCTAATAACTTATGGTATCATCGGTATGTGTCTTCACTTGACTTCATGTTTTTTGCCTTTTTCCCCTTCTACTAAGACGAAGAAACATGACTCTTAAGAACCAGCCTGAGGTAGTGGTAACTTTCAACAGAACCTTTGTGGATGCCGGGTCTCAGTCGCATCGCACCGTCCTTCTTGCTTGAAAGGCAGGTTGGAATTGTGGATTATAGTATACCTTTTTTTTTGTTGTTGTTGTTGGGTCATGTCAATGAAGATCCAGCTAAACGTTGAGGCCCTTATTTTGGTGTTGTTGCCAACCAGAAAAGTAACAGCGCTTGCAAATTCTTACAGACGATTCCGTGTGTTTTGCACAGGGTCCTATTTCCTTGAACATCCATCTAAATGGTAGAGGCTCGAGGAGGCAAGATATTTCAGCCAGTCCCCTATGTGAATGATTAAGGAAGCGGAAAAAGTCCTTTCGGAGTTCGATCGGAAGTATTAAGAAAAGCAGAAGCTCAAGGTCGTTCCCAAGTCCATGGGACAGTAGTAGCAGTAGTAGCGATTGATGCCACACACCACAAAGTGTCCTACGTAGAACACACAGGTTTCTGATCATCCACACGGCGTCCATGGAACCCTTACCCCTGGAAGCCTCTGCCGCGCCCCCTTACTTACAGGTCGCTAGCTAAGGACCTTCATGAGAGCTGCATGCAAGGAAGGAAACTTGCACGAAAGCAGAAGCTGAAGGTCGTTCCCAAGTCCATGGTACCGTAGTAGCGATTGTTGATGCCAGATGTCACAAAGGGTCCTATAGGGAGCACGGTGGTTTCTGATCATTCACATGGTGTCCAGGTTGCAGTTGCGCCTGGAAGCCTCTGCCCCTCTTACTTCCAATTTGCTAGATAAGGAGGACCTCCACGGGGCTGCATGCAAGGAAGGAAACTTGCACGTATATTGTTTGGGAAAGGCTGGCTCTCTCTCTAATGCCTGCCTACGTACTAAGGCGTGAGCTTATGCCCGCCTATCTACTAAGGCGCGAGTTTTGACATCTGTGCATCAACAGGGTAATGCAAGAGACCTTTGGGGGACTGGATGGATGTTATGTTGCCCGGTTTGCATCTCTGTTCTCCTCTCAACTGGGGGGTGTCTTGTACGGTTTCCACGTCAGTGACATTGCGGGATTAACCCACTGAGCGAGGCCGCCGCTGGCCCCCTATCATCACCTTACTACCGTCTTCCCCTGAACATACTGCATATGCGTTCTAAACGAATGCAATGCTGAGGTTGCTTTCTATTCTAATACAAGAACGCACATGCGTTCTATTCAAACAGCCCTAATTTTCGAACACAACGCGTATACGTTCTATTCTAATTTTTGGATTTTTCGGAAACTCGAATACAACACACATGCGTTATGTTCGGGGGAAATGGGTATAGTCCCTGAGAAAATGAATAAATAAACCAAAAACCAAGGAAGTGGTTCTCAGAGTCTCCGACAACCCCTCTTTCGTAAACCCTTGGAATGTGAACACAGCTGGGGGGCTCGAATGGTCACTCACCAGTGCTGAGCAAAGATGGCTGACGCGGGTGGAAAGAAGGACAAGGAAGGCAAGGCATGTATTCTGCGAAGAACACGGTAGAGTGGGAAACATAACAGAAGCTTAGATGGTACCACTGAAAGGCTGCCACCCCAAAGAAGCTGGAAATAGTGGTGGATAGCTTTGCTCAGGGATAGGCTAGCATCCTGACAAGGAAATGCTCGGGAAGTTATGGGCTTGGGAGATCTTCTTAAACCGCCACTACATCCGTACTGGGACTGCCTAGCCTATCGAAGCCCGTACCGTAATGCGCTCGTGAGTCGGAGAGAGGAAATCCAGGCTTAAACCACTAGTAACTTTGCCGTCCGGTTTCGACAAGTTCTAACCTGGTCTCGAACTTTTAGGAGGCCGGGCCCGACAACGACTGCCGTTGATAAATCTGATCGGTGGCCGTCGTTTTGTTTCGGCCTCCTGAAAGGTTGGAGGCCCACAGGCCCACTATTTTCCAAACCGACAAAGGTACTAGTGCTTTAATGTACCTGACTGTTTAGGGAAAAAAATCCAGGCTTAATGTACCTCACTTTTTAGGGAAAAAGGAGGCCTGAGCATAATCTATCTGATCTGGAGAACACGTGCTAATCTAAGGGCGGGAATGGTCGGGAACGCTTTTAAGTCAGGAATGGTCGTGCTAGACAAGGAGAAGATGCTTGTGCCTGAGCATAATCTATCTGATCTGGAGAACACGTGCTAATCTAAGGGCAGGAATGGTCGGGAACGCGCTTAAGTCAGTGCTCTTCTTCTCAGGGACGTTAGAGTCCGTGCAGTTAAAACATGGAGAGTTGGAGATCAGACCCCATGCATGAACTCTTACATCCAACTATTAAACCTACAAGGGGATAATGTAGGCAGACTGTACAAAATCATTGAGGAGTTGAGTCTGAGTGACATGCCTATTCTACAGAAAGTAGCATGCATGCCTTAAAATTTAAAAAGGCATCTGTCCATTATACAATTACTCAGTTAAGGTTCGGTTACACGTGCAGACTGAAAATGGCTGACTCCTTGCCAGGCATGAAGGCGCGATGTACGCACAGACTGGTTCCGAGGGGGGGGGTACCTCTGGGGGTGTGCAGAATTCGGAGTACCCCGGTTTTGGCGACTTAACTCTAAATTTCCAGCAACGAAAAAGGTCGTTTCCATGGCTTCCCAGACATTGGATCTTCAGGGCTCTTTCATCACGAATTCACAAGTAAATACTAAAGAAAAGGTTCAAGGAGTGCTGGATATAACAATGTTAGGGTCTACTTCTTTCACAAGTGGAAAAAATAATTATGGAGCGAGGCCGACTGCTGGGCTCTCTTTCCGAGTTTCCGTACGTCGTTCAAACTCTATGTCCCCCCCCTTCTGCTGATGCCAAAAAGGCACAAAAAAATTTATGTACTTTCAATGTCAGCTTCCGTTTCGACAGTCCTGTATTTTGTCAATTGTTGACTAGCAGTGACGTTCGGTTCACTACCTTCGTCGCCCGAATATAATGGCTAGTCATTATAGCCGTATCTGGACCGAAAATTGCACCAAATATGGGTAAAATGACCAGGGTGAAGACAGTAGTAATGCTTGTGAAATTTTCGTTGAATGTCACTCTTCAGGAAAGCCATGATTTTAACCTGCTCTTAACTTCTAAGCTCTTTTTTTTTATTTCTATTTTTGTGCTGGACGTGATTGATGAATAAACAGGTTTATGCTCATGAGCCGTGAGATCTTCAATCAAGAGAATGCACTCTTCCTGGCGTGCACTCGTGACCGCAAACGGTTCTTTCCCAACTCTCTCTCGAGAATTAATCCTGGGCATCTGGCATACTTCCGCTTCTGTGGCAGAGGTAAGCACTGGTTTCTGAACTTACCATTTTTTTTTTTTTTTTTTTTATTATTATTATTTTTTTTGCGATGGCCTTTAGATATCATAATCGAGCTGACCATCCCTAGGTAATTCAGAACTAGAGCATTTTACTCGTCTGCATCCAGTGGAGTTCGAACTCAGGGTCTGTATTGCAACAGTTCAAGGTGGTACCAACTGAGCTATGCTAGTGTTCGTAAATATACTTCAAAAAATCCGAAAAAAAACTATGTTATGCAGAAAAATAATCTGAGCGACTTTTGCCTCAGGGTCATATAGAAATTCTTTGCCAAATTTGAAAGAAAAAATAATAGTATATGTCACATAAATATAATAATGTATATATTTGTTGTCCCATCTCCCTCTCTGCCTACGGTTTACCAGGCAGCTCTGTTCGACGATATAAACAGTTTGTCACAGCCCCTCGTTTGTTGTCCTCTTCTCCCTCTCTGCCTACGGTTTACCGGGCAGTTCTATTTGACGATATATACTACGACTTCGC